CCCCAAAACCCCAAAACCCCAAAACCCCGAAATGTAAAAACAACTAATAAAAATTTAATTTTTGGAAATTGAATAATTGATTTGTAGAAATAAAAAAATGATGAAATCATCAAAACAACCTTAGGCTACTGGCTTCTCAGGAGGCTTAGACCCAAAAGCATCAATGGGAGGTTCTGCTGGAATTACGTACAGCAGCATTGCTAACATTCCTAAAGCCAAAAGAACAAAATTGATTTCAGAGGCTAAGCCTATGGTAATCATATTTAGACTATGAATTCATTTGATTTACCTTATCGTAACAGTTAGGAGGAGCGAAGAAATGCAAGGATATATGGCAAGCCATAAGAAAAGCTGACTTTAGAAAGGAGGGCATTCTGAATGAAACTAATATAAATTTGGTTTTTGAGAAAAACAAGGAAACAGTAAATTTCTAGACTATATTTTGCATCTTACATATAGATTCATGACTTATTGAGAATACAGACTGCAACTGATTTCATAGACTTGTTTGACTAGGATAAAGATGGGTTCTTGAATGAGGATGAATAAGTGCTGATCTTCTCACTCATTAAGTAAAAGATGCAGTTATTAGCTCAAGAGCTATGTAACATTCATGAATATCAAACTTACAAGGACTTGATGAAGGAAATTAGGTAACATTTAAGGTTGAAATTGAAATTAATTTAGATAACTTGAAGAGGATATAGTTTCTTATCAAGATGAGTTAAGACAGAACATTCAAGAGACATAATTGACTGAGTATGTCTAGATTGGTGATGAGAAGTTGAAGGAGTTTTACGATGAATGGGAGTAAATCTTTGCTGACTTTGAGAATGACAGTCTTAAGAAGATAGAAGACTTGAAAATGGAGCACGAGCAGCAAATGGAATTTGTGAACTAAAAACTAGATCGGGCTGTAGAAGCTGTCAAGTAATTTTTATTCCCTAATTTTTAAGGATTAAGCCAAGTGCTAAACTTAAAGACATGCAAAACAATGAAAAGCTTGTAGCCATAAATGAAAGAATCGAAGAAGCAATGAACTATAGAAAAGAACTCAAAGATCTCGAAGTTCAAGAGGCGGAAAGAGTGGAAAAACTTAGAAATGAAAACGCTGAGAAGCAAAGAAAGACTCTACTTGGAAAATAAGTAAGATAATTCAAAGTCTTATAATGTTTAGAAAAAAGAGATGCTTTAGCTTGAAGCTAAAATAGAAACTGGAAGACATAATTTGAAAATCAAGATGGACAAATCATTAAACGTCCTTTAGAAAGAAATTAACTTGCATGTCAATGACATAAAAAGAATTTAAGGGCTGATGACTAGACTTGCTATCATGAGAGGTGAGACTCTAGATGAACTCAAAAGGAACAAAGAAAAAGCTAGAAAGACAATGAAGCAGTTGAACAATACAAAGAAATTAGGGGAGAGCACTTCACCAGATAGAGCTACCAAAGCTGGTGGATTCACTTAGACTATGGGAGGCTCTATTGATGAAGAATCTCCAATAAACATGCTTTTATTCAGCAATATGAAGAAGGGCTCTAACATGAATGGGATGCTTTCAAATTCTCTCGGAAATACAATGTCATCAAATACCAATTACACTAATGTTATTCTTCCTCTAAAGCAGATTCTTAAGACATGCTCCATAACTAAGTTTGATATAGCAACAGAAAATGAGAATGAAAAGAAGCCAATAAATGCTGAGGAAGATCACAAGAAAGCGAATAACCAAGGTCTTCAAACTAAAATCAAAAAGCTTCTTGATCAAAGAAAACCACCAACTGAAACACTTCCCAGTCTATGTGAGTAATATGATGAAGATCTCAACCTTATTCAAAAGTGATAACATTTAAACTTAGAAATTAGATTTATCAATAAAGTAATTTTACATAAGGATTATAATGAGGGGTTTTGGGGTTTTGGGG